AGTGTATGCCTGATGGTTGTCTATTTTTACACGTATGTTGCTTTGTTCAGGATAGCGGGCACTTACCTGTAGCAAGTTCTAGAATCCATTCAGTGCCCACCTCCAACATCTGAGGAAGAACTCCTGAAATATCTGTCCTTTACCCATCAATGGCAGAAGCCTGTGTGTGCTTCTGCTTTGAACTGTTGAGCTGGCATATGTGAACAGAGCTGGGTTCCCCAGATGTCTCTCGCCTCTCTAGAAAACAGTACAAAGGATTCTGTCCTAGCTTCCCATAATTCCACTTGGCTTGCTCCTGTTCTGGGTTAAAAAGAAGGGAAACTACCCCTGAACATAAGAAATGTCTGAGTAGCACAATGCTAAGAAACTTGCTCTTGCAAGGAATTCAGTTAGCCTGAATTCTGTAAAGAGAGACAAGTCAGAATGGCTATTTCCCTTTCTGAGAAGTTGCTCCACACCTAGGAATGCAAATTACTAACTTCCAACTCTGTCCAAGAAAGGGGTTTTCCTTCCAGGGCAGCTGCACTCAGGAAAAGCCCCCCTCCATGAGCACCACTGTCCTTCCATGGGCAGGAGCCCATTGCATGCAGGATGCACTGCTTCTGCTCAGGTCGGAGTCACTTGTGGTGCTTCCAGATGAGGCTTTTTTCGTGCTGCCAGTCTGCCTGATCAGGACTTTTCATGAGGCAGAGCCAGGCATCGTCGTCTTCCATTTGTGTTCTTCTTGGGTTTTCCAACTGCTCTTCTACCTTTCCTCTCACCACACAAAGGTGGGAAGGATGGGATAGCTGCATAGCCTTGGAAGACCTCCACCTGGAAGCATCTTTAGTGGGAGGAAACTCAAATCTGTTGGATGCTTGCCTCATGTGCAGTTAGAAATTTTAGAGGCCTAACAAAAAATACCAGCTGGTAAACACGCAACCCTATGCGTGTTTAGACGGAGAAAAGGCGTACATCACTAGCTGGAAATGCTGGGAGTTGAGGGACTTTCCTGTCTGAATATGCAACAGACTGTGCCCTTAGTCAAGTGGAATGTAACCCCAAGCCATGGGGGTGGGAGGCTACCACTGTTGGTCTGTTGGGTTCTCCAATGGTTTGCTCTATGGTATCTCTGCTCCACAATGTCTTTTTTTATGTTGTGGAACCATGACTGATTTCCATGCTCCTGGCATGCAACTACCAGAGAGTCCTCTGGAAAGAGTTGCTACTGCAGGAGCCACTCCAGCCATACAGAGCCTATTTATGGATCAGTGAGGAAGAGGCAGGTGCCGTAGGCAGGAAGTGTTACAGGGGTGGTGTCTGTTGGGATACATGCCAGCAGCAGCAGGACCGAGGAGAGACAACCACTTGATGTTCTGTTGGGGAGATCAGGGAAGGAAGAAAACTGTGAACCATGGTAAACTTGCAGGTCTGCTCATCATGACAGGGTTTTTCACATCTGTTTCTTAGGGCATATTGACAGTGCAGATTTAAACTCCTTTAACCATCATCCCATCTCTGTAGGCAATCCTGGAAACTGTATTTTGGCGTGGGGTGAAAGGATAAGACTTTTTTAAATGGCATGCTTCTAATGCATTCTTCTTTGGCTCTTTGGCATTTTAACAGTACAGCCTGGGCATGCTGGGAGTTGTAGGGCTTCTAATCAAGGAGGTCTCTGGAGCTTCTTCCCATCCATCTCCTTCCAGCTCACAAATGGCCCTCTTTAAACAATAGGCAGGAACAGACGGGGCTTTCAGACTTATTAATGGAAGGAAGCCAGTTGCTTATAGAAGCAGCCACAGCTTTGATATTAGAGTTGCAGAGTTATTCTTCAGTTGCTTAAGAAAATAACCATAGTTCACTCATAATATTTATTTTGGAAATGAATATCTGTGCTGAGCATTTGACCAAAGCAAATAGAGAAACTCCAGCCCTTTCCTGAAGGAGAAAACCAATTCAGTGGGAGCGCTGGGCCTTACGAAACTCAGCTTCTTCCAAGACCAAGAAGAGCAAAATAAACTTGCAAAACTAAACTAACAAGCATGGTTTCCCACAAACCCATCACTCTCCAGATGTGCTGGAGTACAATATTCCCATCATCCCTAACCAGTATGGTCCGGTCCAGGATGAAAGTGTTGGGGTAGGCCAGACCTAAAAAACAGACGGCAACGTTTGCAAGGGCCATGTGCAATAGTGTTACAACTCAGATCAAAATTCTGGAAGGACTCCCCTAATTGGCTATGCCGACTGAATTTAGTGGGATTTATTCCAAAGTACATTGCTCTCAGAATGCTACATGTATACACACAGCTTCCAAAACAGCTTCCTTCCTTGTCTTCCAGAGAACGGGGAATACTGTGACAGCCTCCTCCTTTGCTCTTTCTTTAAATGAAATCCTATCCTTGAGATACTACCCAGCAAATTCCAAATATAGATTGCATGTTTGGCTTTAGCATCCCTGAATTCCGGCCGACTGAAAAGGAGGAGGAGAAGGTGAAGGAAGGTCCAAAGCCATGTTTGCATAGTATATTTAATCTCCACAAAGCCTGGGGCAGAGTCACCTTTAAGTCACGGCTCAGGTGTTTATAGATGCCTATGGGAAGCTGCCCATCTCTACCTTTTAACCAGTGGACCCCAGGCAGGTGGGGAATCAGAGAACCTGAAGAATTTAACCACTGGGAGTGCTGCAGAGTTACCTTGGGAGCTTGTTCCCACCACCACCTGTTCTGCTGAACTTTCCTTTGAGGATTGACTCACAATGCTCGGGCATCACTTGATGGCCCATCACTGATGTGAGAACTGATTCCTATGGAAAAGGGCTGTGTTTGGGCTTGGGCTTGGGCTGGTCTTTGATCCTAGTCACACACCAACTCCATCCATAATTATTATGCATGTGTGAACGGGCCTTGGATGACTCCTGAATCAAGAGAAAACTGCCACCACCAAAAAGTGACTGCACAGGGAATGCTGGATGATCTAAAAGCTTTGAAGAAGTACCCCTTGCTGCCAATCTTTAGAAACAGATTCGAAGGCGCCCTTCTCCCAGCCCTTGCAAAAGCCCCATGCAAATCAAAACCCAAATGGGGGCTGAGCACACACCTTGTGTGACTTGTGGGTGCACTGGGGAATTTGCACAACTGTTTTAGACACCATCACAAAATAGCTTATCACAACATGGCTGCTGTGGAGTTTGGGCTTGTCAGAAGTGAGCAAACAGGCTGTGTGAGAACAGTGAGTTTTGAGGGTGGTGGGGAGGTGGAAATTATAAGTTAAAGGGGAGGAGACCAAGAGGGGGCAGGGGGAGAAACAGCAAGGTAAAAAGGTGGGAAGAGGGATTGTGAAGCTGCGGGCTGGGAAGGAAGGGCTTTCCCCATATTACTTTGCTTTCAGACTGCAGAAAATGCACCTCTTTTTGAAAGAATGGAGAGGCAGTGTAGTTTCTACCAGTGTTGATGCTGTTAGTACAGTTCTTTTGGTTTCGACGTATGTGATGATGTATTTGCACGTCTGCCTTTCTGGTGGGTACCATTTTATAACCCATTTGTAATTAATATTTCCATTAGGAATAAAATGCTTTAAGATAACATTTTAAAAAGAGTATAAATTATTGTGCCTTAGCACTAAAATGAAAAAAGCATTATATATAAACCTCATGCTGCTTCTCCACTGTCATCATTTTACATAAGTATGGGGGGTCCTCTAATCTGCAGATTTGCTCTAAAATGCCTTCCAATTTTTTTAAAGTTTGGACATTAATCTCACCATTGCTCTTAAAATGAATACTTCACCCCAAATTGAGTAACAGATTTTTTAAAATATTGATTAAAACCTAATGTGAAAAAGGACCTTCCATGCATTGTCTGGACATGCACGTGGTAGGCATGTCATAGGTGGAGCCAGCTGGAGCTGGGGGTCAGACTAGGTGGCCCAGGAGACCCCTTCTGACTCGCTCTGTTTCTTTGTTTCTACGTTCTGTTTCCCTGCCCTGGCATGAACACAGGCAATCTCTACTGGAAGCATTTACTGGGTGCTCATGATGCCACATACATGGTAGTCTGCAGCTGGAGTGGGAGATGGGAAGGGTCTTGGGAATGGGTCACAGGGAGCCCATGATGCAAAGTTTGCAGCACTCACTATAGCCGAAGACGATCAAAAGCATTATATTGTCCTGTCTGAGTTTTTGGAACCAACAGTATCTCTCCATCAAATGCAGCTTTGAGGATAGATACAGGCTTTTAATTTTAAATGAAAAATGAAATGGATAAGCCATATTCATGCACACATAATGCACAGAGAAACCAGGATTATACATAAAGGTTTCAGCTGTACTACAAATGTAGATCTATTTAATTGTTGTGGTTTTCAGGAAAGTATCCCAGAAATTGTAGTACAGTATGATGCTCAGAAATTTCTTAGAGGTCCTTGTCCAACTCTCAACCCACCCCCAGAGCTCCAGTACCAAAGGAAGAGGAAGTGACTGTTAAATTAGTTTAAAGCAGTGGTATGCCTGGGAAATCTTCCACCATTTCTACCCATATCACCTGCAGCAAAGAAAACTACAATTTTAACAAATAAAAACGATGTAAAAATACAATCTCTACTCTCAGTAGTTTCTAGCTTAAAAGGCAAACTGTTTGGTGTTGCATCTAGCCAATTTAGCACATCAGGTGGAAGCAAAGGGGGTGAGGCTAAAATACCCAGCTCATTTTGGCTTTAATTTCTTACTGCCAGTAATTAACTCTTAGGAGGGGTATTTCAAATATTTAGAATGGGGGAAAATGCACAAAAGCCAGGAAACCACTGTAGGCAGTCCATAGTTGGCCAGATATTCCCCTATCCATGCCCTGCAAGAACCTCACTTTCTGTGCTTTGCTGGAGAAATGAAAGGTAAAACTTTATTCCATACTCTGGTGGAGGTGTGCTTGCTAACAAGGAGTAAAATGTCATCTAATGTCAAAAATGTCATCTAATCCTTAGGAAGTGGGCCGGTTACATCATCAGCAACAGCAACAGCAGCAACAGAGCATTACTATATATTATAATTAACATATTATCACAATTATATGATAACCTGAACAGTACTATTTCAATACAACCCAAGAGCCGAAGCCCTCTGGGCAAGTCACAACAGCAGATTGAATACTTTGTCACCCACATTCACTGCGTCGATTCCTGTTTAAAATCCATGACTGAAGTTCCCACCCAGTTACTACTGCCAGGCAGTAGTGCTAATCCAGATGACCTCCCAAGTCCGCCAATATAAATATGTTCTACTATGTAATAAATTCATTCTGTAAAAAAATACACAAAAGCATCTCACATCAAAATCCCTTCCCGATGCCGGTCACATAACAGTCTCCATTTTCTTCAGCCTAGCAGATGCTTTGCCTTTTCTTTTTCAATTTGAAAAGTATCTGCATTTCCCGATATGGCACCAAGACTTACATTCTGTGTGTATGCGTGTCCATACACCATCGGTATGAGGTCATTTTTACAGACTGGAATTAGGTGAGCAGCTTGTGCCCTCCAGGTGTGCTGGGCTCCCCAGTGACTATGCTAGCTGGGGCAAGGCCAAAACATCTGGAGGGCCACCAGATGCTCATTCTTGACTTACAGGTTGCAGAAGCTGACATTTCACCAGTCCAGAATGGAGCAGCAGCATTCAAACAAAAATCCTCAGTCAATTGGCAAGCTGAATATTGTCAAACAAGGGCCAAGAACTTAAGCTTCTGATTCCTCCCAGATGCTTTACAACGCATGCTAAGAAAACACTTTCTTCCCATAGCGAAGCAGGTTGCAGCAATCTCAAGTCCTGGGTTTCTGCACCCCGTGCTTTTGCCCATTTGCTTCCTGTTTGCTCCCAAATCCTGCATTCCTTCCTGTTTGGAGATTCCTGTGGTCATAGCATATGAACCACAACAGAAGAAGCTTGACCATTAAACTTTATTGGGAGGAGGTAAGCCGAGGGGGTAATAAGGGGACAGGAAGTGCCTCTTCCTACATGGGGTGGGAATGCACATGTGTGACCCTAAATTCTGCAGGGCTGCAAAGCCATCAAGGGTGGAAATTCCTGTCCAAATAAGAGAGTGCAGCTTGGTGCCATTTTAAAAAGGAGATGTTTCTCTTTAACTGAGGGTGCTCTTGACTTCGTGGCACGTCTCGCACCATTTGCCGAGGGCCGAGTAAGTCACCCATGGGCAGTATTGGCCCCAATGAGCACTCTCTCAGCCTACTTCATGTGCACCTCCTTATGTCAAAAGACAGGCTCGTCCTTGGCACCTTGGGCAGCTGTACTGAAAATGTCCAGAAAGACCAGCAGGAAGGAGCCACTTCCCGGCATGCCAAACCAAAAACCCTCAGCCAGTTTGCTGTACTGACACCATTTTGGCCAGATGGGACATGTGCTGTCCAAGATTTTCACACATTGCAAAGGCATTTTAGACAGCAAGAGGAGGCATCTTTGCCATTCTTCTAAAGCAGACAAGACATGTCCAAGCTGTTCTCCTAAAAGCCATTTGGTTTCTGACACACAGAAACACAGGCTGGGTGCATGCCTGCTTCTTTGGCAAGAAGCAGCCCGTGAGAGAGGCACAAACCCACGGCCTTTATGGGCATTCGGCCACAAGACGTGCCCCCATTCACCCACCAGGGCATGGCACCCTACTGGTAGATCCTTCACTACAATTGTTTTGCACGTCTGCAGTTGGGTGGATAGCTCCTCAAAACATGATACTATATAATAGTATTTTTGGTATAGTGTTAGGCAAGACATTCAGAGCAATAGCTCTACCATCTTAAAGCCACCAGGGTTCTATTAGTCCTGCTCCCAAATGCCACACAGGAATGTTTTAGAACCAAAAATAGAATACTGTTGCTATGCTTTATAATCAGAAAACCAGTATTCTGCAATTGGAATGAGATTTTTTGGATAATTTTTATATACATTTACTGAGATTATTGTACCTTCTCTGGAAAAGGTAGGGATTTTTTTTACTGAGTTTGATTAGAGTAGATGTAAAGTGCAGAGAGAGATGCAACATGGCACACTTGTTAAAATGGGCATATTAAGTGAGTAGGGCAGGAACTGAGAGCTACAAGGAAGAGGGGTGCCTGGATCTCTCCCACTCTCGTGGGTGATTTTGAGAGGGAAAACGGCATGAGAGGAAAGGGTTCCACAGCCCCTTCCCTTTCTGTTGCTCCTCCACTTAAGGGCTGTTTTTGGTTAAAAAATAAATAAAAGAAGTCAGAATAAGGTTGCATTCCAACTACATGGAAAGTCTGGTTTTTTTCTCAGATGTGCATAATCCTTATTCATACGTACTCTAAAAGCTAAACCTATTTGGGCTAAACAATGGAAAACTGGAGAAAGAACCACAAGAACTACCTGTTTCTTGATCATTTTAAACAGCTCTGGACCCTCCTTGGTTACTCCGTGCCAGCAGGATCAGATCCTGATGGCTGAAGAAGCTGCAAACACATGAACACAGAAGAGGTGGAGTGGGACAGAGAGGCTCCACAGGAAACCAAGGCAACACAGCTCCTGGAGTTGGGAACCCAACAGGACAGGACGAGGAACCAGCGGGGGGCGGGGGGTGTCGGGAGGCAAAGTCTCCAGACGCCAGGAACACGATTTGGAGCACAGCACAACAGCCTCCTGGAGTTCCTCAACAAATAAGTTGTCCAGATCCTGAAAGTATCACTGATCTAGAAGCTGGCTCACAGGCAGTGGTGTGGCAATGACCTTCTCGCTTCACGCTGCACTTCGGATCACGAAGATTTGGTTCTAGAGGATCTCTGTCTTTGCTTGAGCTAAGTGGCACATTCCTTCCTTGGAGCAGTGGCACAGGGTGCAGGCCGGAGGGTTCCTGATTTGAGCTTCCCCTGCTGCCCAGCAACTGGCATCGAAGTATGTTTGCCAATGCTTGTTCTGTGCTCTCTCCATGGCCATGAGACACAGGGTCTGACATGCTCCTTGCTCTGCTCTGTTACACACTGCATTCACATTCACCAGCAGAAGCCATGCACCACAATGAGAAGGGTAAATCATGGTGAAAAGTCACATCTGCACATAAATACTTGCTAGGCTTGGGGTGCTCACATTTAATGGGCTGGTGATGTTCTGGTATACTGGAGAAAGAACACCAAACATTAAAAAAGCAAGCTGCCCATGCAGGATACAGGCAGATAGGAAAATCTGTAGGGCACTCAGGCGGCCAAGCGAAGGACTGCAGGACCCACCAAAAATCTGGGGGAGAGGCATGATCTTCACAATTCTCCCTGAGCTGCATTCTTGGGGCATGCCATGCCCTGCTGGACACACCGGATGAGTTCTTTGCGGTTGTCAAGGATGGTGTCGAAGCTATCCTGAAGCCGGTTTTGCTGGTCCACCACCTTCTGCTGGAGGCTGCGGATCCAGCGGAGCAAAGCCAGGCGGCGGTACATCACCAGGTGGACATGGTGCTTCTGTTTCTCCCACTCTTTGAATGCCTTCTTTTCCTGGAGGTTCTGGAAAGCCTCAGCCAAAGCTGGGAAGAGGGTCTCAGAACCAGAAGGGCTTTCAGGCTCAGCACCCAGGGACTGTGGTTCCAGGGGACCCTTCCAGTCTTCAGGTGCAGCTGTGGGCGTGTCCCAAGCACTGGTGCCTCCACTGTCAGGACTATCGATGCTTAGTGAACTGCTGGCATAACCATTGTCTTCTAGTGGGGAGCTGGCCGGCTTCCTACCTTCTTTTATCCCTGCCTCGCTGGAAGCATTTTCGTGCTCCACACCACTGACTTCAGCACCCTCTGGAGGTCTGCGGATGTCCTCCCCTTCCTCCTCCTCCCCTTCCTCCTTCTCTCCTTCCTCCTCCTCCTCCTCTTCCTCCTCCTCTTCCTCTTCCTCCTCCTCTTCAGAGGCAAGGAACATGCTGTCAGATTTCAGACCCTGGGGGACACCCTGATGTCCGCGTTTTTCTTTCAGATTGTGTAAGACAACCATTTGGTGATCGGATGCCTTGCCTGCATTGTCGCCCCCCTGCTCTAGTTTCCCCTGCATGGATTGGCTCCAATTTTCATTGCTGTCATAGGGCTCTTCACCCATGAAGTTGAGGTTGTTGTCTGGTTGACAGTCCATTCCACCAAGGCAAGTCATGTCTAGCTGCAAGTTTCCCTTCACCTCACTGAACAGAGGGTTGAGTGGCAACTCCGGCTGGCACATGGCAAACATCTGTGCACCTTCGCAGCTGGGGAAAAGAGAGAGGAACCAAGGAAAATAGTGTAATCAAGCACCACCACCGCCACCCTCCCCCCGCCACCTGCCTGAAGCTGACTACTCATTGCTCACTTGCAGAGCAAAGAAATGTCTTTGCCTGCAAAAGGTCCCAGGTTTGGCCCCAGCCATCTTTGGGTGGAACTGGGATGAAACCCAGCCTAAAAACACAGAATGCGACTGTCCAGAAAATGCGGCTGAGATGGGTGGAGATGAGAACCTAAGATCTGGGTCCATCTACTCCAGTATTGCTTTCACACAGTAGCTGCCCACAGGATCCCACAAGCGCAATGTGTACAGTGGCACCCCTGCCCAAGTTCCGCAGCAACTGGTGCACCGAGCCAAACTGCCTGTGGAGCTGGATCCCTCCGGACTGGCAGCCCAGATAGCCTCTCCTCCACAAATGGTTCCAGTCCCCTTTAAAGCCCTCCGAATGGGCAGTCATCCCTCCATCTCAGGGAAGTGAATCCCACGAGTCCCCCATGCACCATGTGGAGAAGTCCTTCATTTTCTCTGCCTCCACCTCCCATCAATGAGCCTCAAAGGATGACTTCCAGTTCTAGTGTTATGGGAAACCACAAGCCACCCCCTGCACTCTCCCATGATCACCAGCCCCCCACAGCCATAAGTAGGTCTCTCCCTTTCCCTTTCCAGAAGGCTCAGATTAAACTTTAGAAACACAGTCCTTTTATTAAAAGGTTAGCAGGTTACAGAACAAGATAAATCAGTGTAGTGCTCTCCTTGAAATGTGGGAGAAGCCTCTGCCCATGTGAAGGGTTGAATTCTAACTAAAGCTTACCCTCCTTTCAGAAAAACAACCTCAGGGTGTCTCTTTGCATGCTCAAGGGACTCCATGCCCACCCCTCAGCTCAGAAATGTCTCCTGGGTTAGTTCTCACACACTGCCTGAGAATCTTCAATAGGTCACCTTGAAACTGCCCAAATTCAGTGCGTCTGCCCCTGTCCCCCTTCTAATCCTGCATTTAGTTTATCAACAACATCATCATCATTATTAATCAAGGAACTCAAGGCAGCTTACATAATCCTCCTTTCCTCTCAACCTCGTCCTTACAACAACCCTGTGAAGTAGGCTGAGCTGAGAGTCCAAAGTGATCCAGGTAGCTCCATGACTGAATGGGGACCAGAACAGAGATTTCTTGAGTCCTAATCCTGCACACAAGTTTATTTATAGATGCGTGTCCCTCCATTTTTCTTTTTTAAAGAACTCAGAGCAGTTTCCATAATTCGGGGCCATGCTGAGAGCCAGCTCGGGGGGGCGGGTCATGCCATCACCAGTTTCCAGAATGGTTTACTATTAGAAAAGCCACCCAAGTTTCCACTGAGGACTGCCAAAAAGATGGAGGACGCACCTGGCCATGCAGGTGCTGCAAAGAGTGACAGTTATGGGGGGGGGGGGCAACAACGAGGGATGGCGACTGCCCTAAAACTCTACTGCAGGCTTCCTGGAAGATTTGTGGGCAACTGAAAACTGTCCAGGGATTGGGCATCTCTGAAAGAAGCCCTTCTGTCTGCCTTGCCCCTAAGATGGCAGCACCCTGCAAATAAGATTATTATAGATCACCACTAATGCAATGAAATCATTTGTTCACATGACTCCAGTCCTCCGTCAGCTTCACTGGCTTCCCATTGAAGTCCGGGCCCAATTCAAGGTGTTGGTGATGACCTATAAAGCCCTTAACGGCTTGGGTCCTGGTTACCTGAAGGAGCGCTTACGTCCATATATGCCCGCCCGCCCCTTGAGATCTGTGGGAGAGACCCTTCTCTAGGAACCCTCCGTGAAGGAAATTAGGAGGGTGAGTACTCGGAGGAGGGCTTTCTCTGCAGTGGCGCCCAATCTATGGAATGTGCTCTCCAGAGAGGTCCGCCTGACGCCGTTGTTATTTGTTTTTCGGCGCCAGGTGAAGACCTTTTTATTCAAATGTTATTTTAATTGTTAATATTATTTATTCATTTTATTCTTTGGCCAGGGCGACTTAATTTATATTGTTAATTTATATTATTCTATCTTGAAGTTTATTTATGGTTGTGAGCCGTCCCAAGGCTTCAGCGAATGGGGTGGCATAGAAGTCTCCTAAATAAATAAATAAACAAACAAACAAACCATGGCTGTGGCATGAAATAAATTCCTTCTTAGAACAAAACTTAAAAAACAACAACAACAACCCTCTGCAAGACTGTGTCCTGCCACTATGCTGGAAGACTTGACAGATGGTGAAACATGGGGTAAACCTACGGATTTGACACGGGCCAGTAGTAATTCTCAGGTGGCCCCCATGTTTTGCAGGTCAACATGGAGGGGAGAAATGCCCGCCTTCATCCACTGCCACCAACCTGCTGCCCATAAAAGCAATTCAATCTTCCCGAAAATGCAGCATGTCCATCTCTTTAAGCAGCTTATAGCCCCAGCAAGTGAAGGGGCGGTGGATTTGGGGGGAGGGGGGGCAGGATGGCTGCAACATGAACAGTAAGCCATTCTTGGAGAGACTGGACAATTGAACAGATGGTGATTAGGCTTATAAATGCAACAGACACAGGGACGGACGGACGGACAGACAGACAGACAGACAGTCATCTGCAGCCCAGCCAGCTCTTATACAACCTACCCAGCCTTTCTCAACCTGTGCCCTCCAAATGCTTTGAACATCAACTCCTACCAATGGCCATGCTCGCTGGGGCTGATGGGAACCGTAGTCCCAACCCTTTGGAACACCTCAGTTCCAGGACAAGCTAATCTAAGGTAATAGGTTAGGGTAAAGCAAGAACTATAAATAGAATAAGTATCATTACTGGCGATAATGGTCGATGATGAGGATGAGGATGATGATGATTAGTAACACCGCTACAGGGCACAAGCCTAGCAGAAACAACTCAGGAGTCGGCCATCTCGCTCGCGCGCGCGCTCCAGGTGCTCCCTCCCTCGCACAGCAGCTCTGCCAGGTTGGCTTTTCTAACCAGGTGCGCTCCAGGCGCTTCGGAACACGACTCCCATCAGCCCCAGTCGGCACGGCCAATTAGTCAGCATGCCCAGTCGAAGACACCTCGAGGCAGCAGGACGGGGGCCATGCCGGTTCAGGAGGGGGCTCCGCTCCGCTCCCCTGGCGGCGCGCCCAGCCAGGTGAGGAGGGCGCGCAAGAGGCGGCGGCGCGGCTCGCCCGTGGGCCCCCCCGCAGAGGCGGCTGCGGCGGCCCGAGGAAGCGGCGACCGGGCCGCTCCGCCAAGGGAGGGGCGTGCGGGAGGGGCGCCGCCCCCTGCGGCGACTCGCGCGCCCGTCCTTGCCGCCAGCCACTCACCGCTGCAGCCTGGAAGGAAGCCGCGGGCGGGCCGGGCCGAGCCGAGCCGGGCCAGCGGGGCCCCGTTGCTGCGCGGAGCTTGCGGAGGACGGAAATGGGACGGAGAGGGCAGCCGGGCAGGAAAGCGTCATGGACGGCCCGCTTCCGAGGCGGCGGCGGCGGCGGAGGAGGCACAGGAGAGAGCGGGCCGCCGAGCTGCCCAAGGCGCACAGGGCGGCCGCGCCAGGCTCGCCGCCGGGGAGGGGAAAGCTGCGCGGGCAGCTCTGCCCGATCGGCACCTTCTCCGCCCTCCCTCCCTTCCTTCCTTCCTCACGCGAGAAGCGGGCAAGCCTCCTGCTAGGCTCCTGCTCCAAAGCAGCAGCCCCCCCCAAAACTGGTGACCAGACTGGTGTGTCGCAGAGGATGAGAGCAGAGAAGGGTTGGCTGGCGGGAGGTGGCGGTGGCAGGGGCCGTGCTGCGTGTCCTGTGCTCCCCACACGTGCAACGATCCCCGAAAAGGCGGAGAGGGGCACTGGAAAGTGGGTAAGAGGGTCCGTAGGAATACACTGTGGCGCCATGGTCACTAGAAGAGGTAAATCAGGTGGCAAAGCTGTTCCCAGGATAGAGTGCTGGTCTTTGTGTGTGTCAATCACACGCGTTCAACTAGGTAAGTTTTAGATCATGGGTCCTCAAACTGCGGCCCGCCATGTCCACTTGGACCCACCGCGCGTGTGCTCGCACCCATGCGCATGCCCACCACCGCACTCCTCGCCCCACGCGCAGTGGAGCAGCGGTTTGCGCACTCGGAGAAAATGATCGCCAAGCGAGTAAGCCGCTGCCTCGTGCGCCCGCCTTGTGGCACGTGCCCGCCCCAGTGCCGGGCTGCACGCACCGCCAGCACCACCTTTCCTGCCCACACCCAGCACCGGCAGCTTTCAACTGGCCCCCAGGTGGGAAAGTTTGAGGACCCCAGTTTTAGATTCTGACTTACAATGCATTCAGTAACGAAGCATCGATACACAACCTGCACTCAAGGGTTAAGTGTGGGTTGGGTTCTTGTTGAACCATGGCTTATGTTGCCTGAGCCCAGCTGATAACATTCCGTAGTTCACAAACCAACAACAGACAGGTTCTTTTTGTGGGTTGCTCACAATTTAACAAGTTACACCTTGTTGGTGCAGCTGACCTCAAAATAATCCACATTTCAACAACCCGTACTCAACCATTGAGTTATCATGTTGTCTGAACCCAGTCACAGAGTGCAGCAGGAAATGCAGGGATGTTTTTCTCATGCTTCATTCAGACAGTCACTTCCTCATGCCTAGAAGTCGGTACAAGCCATGAAGGTGTTTGTCACATAAGGACTTAAAGCTGAGCTCGCCCTCCCAAAGGTTTAACATTCACAAGCAGGGGAAGACTGGCTCATTGAGAGCAATGGGGTGAAAATCTTGGCATGTTCACAAAACCAGTTCCCTAAACCGGCCAGAAGTCTGACCATCTGACAGTTTTTGCATTCAAAGCCAAAGACAAGGCTGGGCATCATTGGGCACTTGCCCACAGCCCAGTGGGGCTAATGACAACCTGCTTTTCATCCTGGCCCAGACAGTGAGGAGGTGATGCCCTTGCTCCTGGCTCCCTGCCCAAGGATGGCAACTTGCCCAGGGCCCTCCAAACATGGAGCCAGGAATTTCAGATTTCTACAAGTAGCTGCTGAGCACCACCAGACCTGCCTGCAAGCGCAGCGTACATGAAGGTATGCATGACTACTGTAACTGTTCGGCATCAAGCAACGGGCAGTGGTATTGCTGGTAACTTGAGGGCGAAAAGCTGCAGGTTTGGTCTGTAGTGCAAAGTATCTCCGGGCAGGGGAAAATGCTTCCCTGGTGCCTCAAAAGAGCCACTCCCCATTCAAAGAGGCTCTCCTGAGTGAGATGGCCTTCACAGAAGGCAGCATCATGTGAACATCCAAATGGAAGAGCAAGTTTTAATGGATTGCCCAAACCTCTTCACTTTTCCCCATGGCCACCAATCCCTATAACCACATGCAGTACACTCTTAAAGGTCTCTCAGTGTAACTCCACACCCTGGAGGCTGCTTGTGAACATTCAAAGAAAAGAGGGAAACTTCTGGAAGAAAATCAAATGCTGGCAAAGAAGGCAAGGCACACACAAGGGCAAGGTCACATGAAGCAGACATAAAGGAGGCCTTGTGCATGCTAACTTTGAAGACACTGGGACCAAAATTGCAGGGGCGAGGGACTCCGGGAGAATGTGCAGCAGCTCAGGATAGGTTGGCAGGGATGGAAAGAGATGCCTACCTCATGCCCTTGATGATGGATCAAGGGAGCAACGAAGGCATGTGCCTGTCCTCCATCTTTCTTTGCAACCTTCACTTCTGCACAGCCGTCTCTGAACCGGTGCACTTCCGATGTGTGGGTCTACAAGGTCCCACACACCTGGAGGGCATCACCACCTGGCTGGGAAAGCTGCTTTAACATATGCCACATTTATGTTGACAATGGCTTCTTTTATAGCCAATATAGTGAACCCAGGAAAGCGTATAATGAATGGGATATCCCCTACCTCCACAAAGAAAGGAGGTCTCCAGTTTCCTTCCTCTCTTTCTGCATCTTATTTATTCACAAGAAAGGTGATGCTCAGAGACCTTGCTTGCTTGCGCAAATATTTCTCTCTAAAAGTTGTACCCCAGGAAAGGCACTCTAGGCTGCCAGCTTGGTGGCTTGAAGGAGTGCTTCTTTGGCTACCATTCTGAAGGTCACCCCAGCATCAGAGATAAACGTATAGGCAGAGTGCAGCTTGTCAGCATTAGGAGTGCTAACAGGATAGGAAGAGGAAAAAGTCATCCCCCCTCTTATGGCAGTCAGTAGCTGCTATCATAAACTCTGGAGTTTTTACCAAACCAGGCCATGCAAAATACTAAACACGGAAGCTCGCTAATAACCAGTGTATGTTTAGTTGTAAGTTATCTCAGGCTTCCCTTACTATCTACAGTTTGGCAGCATGTAATTTGGCAGCCTTCCTGCATATGTGTTGGACTGTAACTCCCAGAATCCCCCGCCAATAAGGTCATAATCTCCTTTCTGTCACTTGATAACCCTGGTAAAAGTATGTCACTTTTTCAAGGAGTGCTTTGCAGAATAACCTTGCCTTTGAGAAGTAAGGCTTGCTGTTTCCCTCATAAAATTAAGATGTGGGACTGCAACCAAAAAGACAATTTTTGCAGTCCAAAAAAGACTGCAGCCATCCTTGCAGCTGATTCGTCTTCCCTCTCTACCAATTCAAGCAAATCCAGGTGGGGTGGAGGCCATTCACCTGAGAGAGGTACTCTGTCAGGTGAGCAGCTCTTTATTCTGTACAGGGGTCTGAAAAACCAAAGCTGACACCTTGCACAGGGCCTGGAATCCAGTTGGGAGCTGCCGCAACACTTGTGTGCCTGTGCCCACACAAGGCCACTGCTCCACAAAGCCCATTGGGTCTCTTGTTGTGCTGGTGTGGCAACTTCGGCCGAGCACGAGGACATTCAGGCACGCTGCTTGCTTGCTCTGCAGCAGAGATAAGAATCCCACTCAAGACTGACTGATGCAGGAACCATGCCCACCTGCTTTTCATCTGCTGTATTTTCCATTAACCGATGTGGCTCGACACGCCACAGCCTTTGAACAAAATTGTTCCCAGCAGAGGCCTAAGGACCTCTCCTCAGTCTGATGACGTCGATGTGTGTCACTGAAGCCTGTTGCTCTAACCTTTTTCCGTCAGGAAGGATGAATAATCAAGTCCTAACCAATCCCGCATGTGAGGGAAGCTTTGATGGGGAACCCAGCCAGGCGCAAGACACCAGGCAAAACCACCAAATTGGAGGGGTGGAATGTTGCGCAAAACCCATCCTTTCCAAAGTCATCTCTTGGCCAGCTCTTCCGTGCTGCTTCAAACAAGATCCACAACTCGGATCTGGTACAGATTAGTTCATTTTGTCCTTTGCTGTAATGTCCAGAGCCAGCAGGGACATAACGAAAGCCGGAGAGGATCAGACTAAAGGATCCTCTGGCCTGGCCGTCCTCAGCGTGGCTCCTCCCACGTGCTTTGGACTGTAACTCCTGACACTTGGCCCTGCTGGCTGGATATGATGGATGCTGTAGTCCCAAACTTCAGGACAGCACCACTTGGGGAAAGGCTGTTCCAAAAATTAAAAATGTTTTTGGTATTTTCTGCTGTTTAATCTGTTTTTAATGTGTCTTACTATTGCTTTAAAGTTATTTTTAAGTTTCTCTCCTTTTTTGGAAAAAGAAAGCTTTTGAAATTATTTATTGCATGAGAACCTGTTTTCCATGACCCTGGGACTTTTTCACAAAGCCCTTAGTGCAGTGGAAGATGGTAGTGGTAGTGTCAACAGAGAGCTTCATGCCTTCCAGCTTTTGTCTGGACTTTTAAGGAGCACCCCCAAATAGGTGCAATGCTGTGGATAGTTCCAGTAAAGTCAGACTGAAACCTGAATATATTAGTGCCACCAGCCCCTACTGGTTCCTTGGTGCCCGCTAAAGTTTTTTAAATCAGTTTCATTGCCATGCAGAGGGCAGTTTTCAAAGTGGGTTGGAACTTGGGAGGAAAGAGTTGAGGTGATTTTATTTGCTAAGCTAGAAACCATTTCAAACATGAAGACTTTCCAACTGGGGCCTCAAATTGGGTTCTTGATTTCCTGGCTGCCGACACAAATAAATATGTACTGGAACGTAATTGTCCTTGTATAATAACAAAGAGCATAAAAACTCAATTAGTGTGACAAAAATTTTCCTGAGACAGATATCTGTCTAAAATCAGATATTTTTCACAAGGAGTATTTTTACAGGAGGTATTCCATAGCTGTTTTACACTACACAGAAATATACCGCTCCAAAAGTTATTTCTTATAATGTCCATCCAGAATGGCCAAAGGCATAACTTTAAACCTTCTGATTTAATGATTCTGTGTGGAGCTGAGATGATTGTCTCCAAATAATTCAGTTTCTGATCATCTGTTTTAATACATGGATACAGCCTAGAAAATCTCAGCAAATGGATAGTGAGCGTGTCAGTCAAAGGCACCTTCACCACCTGTTAATTACATGTTAGGTGGGTCTGTATGATCGTGGTTTTTCCCTCCTCATGCTCACTGGTCATCAGCCACCTAA